CATCATCATCAGCATCATCATCACCATCATCATCATCACCATCATCATAATCTTCATCACCATCATCATCAGCAGCAGCAATCATGCTTATAAAAAATCCTGGCTATCCATACTTCTTACCAGCTCTACTCGTCCAAAACCACCAACACCAAGAGTCTTAACCAAGCTTAGGTCTTCTAATCGCACATTGGCAAATTCTTCTTCTTTTTCTCTTAATCGACTAGAATAGAAGTGAACAATTATTAGTACCATCAGATGAGAACTTAGAAAGCACTTGAAACAAAGTATCCTCACAGTATAAGTGCAGGACTAAGAGAATATAAAATTAAAAACATCTGTTAATAGCTAACTATAATCACGATAGAGGCTTTGCACCATCATGTGACGGCAGCTTGCTAAATGGCAGGAACAATACAATCATTTTACATGAGAAATAATTCAATTCCCAAGAGCAAAGGGATTTTATTGATATGTCATCTATCTAACCAAGCTGTATTATGAGTGCTGGGACGTGATGGTGCAAAGCCTCTTTACAATAATGTCAACTTGTCGTAAATGAGTCGAAATTTATCTATTTATTTATTATTGATTTTGTAGTCTGGGATTGATACCTGGCTGTTTGTGGATCAACACCTCGTTGACTATCATTGTACTTGTCCTTTTGAATTTCGTCTAAACTACCAATAAACTGAATAAAAGCTCTGGAGAAAAGAGAAAAAAATTCATCATTTAGGATAGTTATTGTAAAGTTTGGTAATAAAAATCGCTGTCCACCTTTGTACCCTCCCATAACTGTTAAATAATCAGGTACTCCATGGCCTGATTTACTTACTCTCTATCTAGAACAAGACAGGTAACACCACCTTGACCTGCAATGCAGTTTGCTGTTCTCAGATCCTCCCTAAAAATCAAAATAAACAAAAAATAAGAAAATTTAATATTAGTTGTCCATCCTTCTGTCCATATAACTTTCTCGCTATCCACCAACCTTGATGATGATGATTTATCCATCTATCTGTCCTTTCATCCATCCATTCATATTTTATCCACCCATCTATCCCTTCCTTCTATCCATCCTTCTACCCATCCATCCATTCATTCATTCCTCTGTCCATTCATTCATCCATCCATTCATCTTGATGTCCATCATTTATCCATCTATCCATCAATCCATCCATTCATTTATTCATCCATCCATCCCTTCCTTCTATCCATCCTTCTACCCATCCATCCATCCATTCTTTAGGTTCATTCATTCATCCATTTTCTACTAACCCTTTCAATGCCTTTTCACCAAAGTAATTTCCTTTGCCTAGTGATCTAACAAAGACAGGGTCTGAATGCACTGATGTTCTCTGGGTAACATCCACCTGATAAAAAACAAAAGTAAATTATTAATAAAAATTGTTATTGGTATACTTAAAAACTGAAATCAATAGACCTTTCCCAAATTCGCTTGACTTGATGAATAAAAGAATCAAGTTCAGTCTCAACTTCAAACCATTGTTTCATCATGGTCAGTCAAGCGAATTCAGGATAGGTCTGTTCTTTCTATGGTAGGGCAAATAAGGAGCTACACTTGTTGCATGGGTACTACTCACCTTGCCTCGTTTAATAATAAAGAATGTATCTCCTCTAGCGCCTTGTCTAATGATGAATTCACCTTCCTCGTAAAATGCCTGTAGGTTATAAATCAAAAATTATAGTCTCTTCATCTCTGTTTGTTTGAAAAGACAGATCAAATGGTGCAACCCAAAACCCCAAAATAATCAAATGATACACTACACCCACCCCACCCCCCACATAATCAAATTGTACACTCCACCCCCCACCCCCCCAAATAATCAAATGGTGCACCCCACCTACCCTCTCCCCAAAATCCTCTTTGTCTTTATATGTTTGAAGACACTTAGATTAAATGGTGCACCCCAAAAACCTACCCCTAAAATAAAAATAATCAAACGGTTGGACCATCAAGTTTGCACTTACTTCTTCAATAACATCAGCTATCTTGAGCATGTATGCCTCTGGAAGGTCCTTCAGCAACTGAACACTAAATATAGCAAATGATAAATCAATGGGATGCAACAGTATGCCAAGTCTCGTCATTTTTATTGATATCATCATCATCTTCACTATCAACATGATAATCAGCATCATCATAACTGATCACTATCTGCATCAATAATGATCAATTATCATTATCATCATCACCACCATCATCAACCATATAATCATCAACATCATCATGTTATCATCATCATCACCATCAATCATATAATCATCATCGTCATCATAATCATGTTATCATCATCATCACCATCAATCATATAATCACCATTGTCATCATAATCATGTTATCATCACCATCATCATGTTATCATCATCATCACCATCAATCATATAAACATCATCGTCATCATAATCATGTTATCATCATCATCACCATCATCATGTCATCATCATCATCATTATCATCAATCATATAACCATCAACACCATCACCCTCATCAAAACCATCATTTAACTTACCTTTTTAAGAAGTCCATGTGTTCAGCTTGTCTCATCAGACCTGTCTTCATCATGATGGTCTGGAAAGTCTGTCTGTCTATGGCCCATAATTTGACTGATGTCTGAGCTGAAACAGCAAACCATGCCTGTCAGGATCAAAGCTCTTCCTGGCAATATTGTGAAAGGATAATATAGGTCACTTACCTCTTACGCTTGCTGTTCTTGTACAGTTGTACAATATAGCCAGTTCTCCAAAAGCCTTGCCTGCTCCCATGTGGCCCAACACAGCGCCTTCTTTTGTAACTTGGCATTTTCCCTCTGAAAAATTGATGCAAAATTAATTATATTATCTATAACTCCTTTCACAGCGATCTGGGACTTCCAAAGAGTGGGGCAGGTATTAAGAAGGAATGTTGTATAATGCCATTAAATATCTATACCTCTCAGAGGGATTGGAATTTCAAACAGGTGGGGAGGGTCTAAGGATATGCTAAAGACCTTTAGCATCAGCTTTACTGCTAGGGATCTGGACCAGAAACACGTCCACAAACACGGAGAAACATTCAGCATCAATGAAATTCAATATGGCGGCTCTTCCAGCAACAACTTTGTCATGACGCCTTGCTAAATGTTGAAAGTTTGACGGAAAATGACTGACAGTTTGCAGAGCTAACAAGAATGCCGTGCTAAAAGTCTCAAATATATAGTACAGACTACCAGTAAATGTCTATACCTCTGCACCGGGGGGCCTTGTCTTTTTGAGGGGTCTAAGAGGGTATATTGTGCAGTACGAATTAAATGTCTATACCTCTCCACAGAGGGGGGATCATTGTTTCAAGGGGAGGGGAGGGTTTGAGGAGGATATATTATGCAGTTTAAGAAAATAAACTTAATAGTTTGTATTCAAGGACAACAGTGGTATCTTATAAATTTAAAAAATAGTCTAATTAATTTAATCTGGGCTAAACTGCTCAAAGCCAGATTAGTACCAATAGTGGATTACATATTCTGGAGTATAATCTTTACTTGCTTGGTAATGCACCATGGATATATTAGGTCTTCTCAAACTCATGAATATTTAATGAGGAGAAAACAAAGCGAATAACTACTGTGACGGTGGTTTGGAAATGTGTTCTTAATTTGCATTAAATTTCGTAAAATTTTTATTTTATTTTCTCCAAGAAATATTCATGAGTTTGAGAAGTAATTTCAAACACTTGAGAGAGTTCTTCCTCCGATTTCCAAACACCTCAAAGTCAGTTAAAGACACTCGACTGCGCCTCACTTTTCGGTGTTTGGAAATTGGAGGAAGCTCTCTCTCGTGTTTGAAAAACTACTTATAAGCAATTGAGACCAACAGCAGACAGCCATATGTGTGCATCTTATGGAAGATTTTTGAGTGCCAAGTGCTGATGCCAAGTGCTGATGCCAAGTGGCTGTCAAACTGCAGTTTGTTGGCGAAAACCTTAATTTTTAAGATGGATAAAGCCACTAAAAATTTTCATCATATCATCGTATGACATTTTCATAAACAAATGAATGACAATAAGATATTTATAGAAAAATTAGCAGATTTGGGGATTAGGATCAAATAGAGGCATTGTACCATCACATAACAGCAGCCATGTTAGATGGAAGGAACAATACAATTGTTTTACATGAGAAAGAATTCAATCCCCAAGGACAAAGGGAATTTATTGTCTACCATCTAACCACAGGAAGTTGAAGCTGTATTATGGGTGCAAAGCCTCTTTAGTTTTTCTATAAATTATTTATTTATTTATGAAATAACACTGTGTTCCTTGATTACAGACTCATTTACCCTGAGCTGGACAGCAGCAGAATAATCACAAATATGAACAGTAAAGTAAAGAATCAATACACAACTACAACAATACAAACACTTTGAAACTCCATGGACCTTCACTGGAATGCATGAATATTTATTCAAAATAATTCCACATGAAATCGAGGGAAACCCTGTGCAACAGGGCTCAAAACTGCAGCATTTCGCAATGCTTTCAAAATGTTTTAGAGTAGGTGGTCTTAAGTCTGAAGTAACTGGCTGTGATCCAATAGATCAATGATTTTTTTTTTACAGAAAAGAAAAAGTAGCCAGCAGTTACTTTGAGGCAACTGCCAGAGCTCCGGTGGTAGCCAGCTTATTCTGTAAGCCCTGATTACACCAGCCAAGTTAATGACTCATGGATTCATAATTTAATCACATCCTTTTTGTAATCACTACCAAATCCTGCAATCTGATTGGTTCAAAGGAGTGCGATTAATTCCCAAATCGCATCCTTAGGAGCTCTTAATCGCATTCTAAAAAAAAATTTTTCTTAACAATAAAATAAAACAAAAAAAAAAAATAAATAAGTTATTTTAGATGTTTTTTTTTGTTCGCATTTAGTTCTTCTACTACATTAAACTGATTATTCTGCACTCTTTATTGTGCCTTTTTCTTATGTATGATTACAAAAAGGATATGATTAAGTGGTAATTGAACTTCGTGTCGTGCAATTTTGGTCTGAAATCAAACTTGCAATTACAAATCACACTCCCGCTACGCGGTCGTGTGATTTTGTAATCGCGCGTTTGATTTCAGACCAAATTGCACTCCACTCAGTTCAATTACCATTATTAATCAACTGACCTTCAAGAACGTATAAGTGTGATCCAGGGTCACCTTCTTTGATAATGTATTCATCTCTTTTAAACTGCTTTTCATACATACACTCAACCACTTCTCGAATCTGTGAGCCCTCAAGATTTTTAAGAAAATCATTATCAAGGATCGCTTCTTTTATGAGGTCTTTAGATCTGATGAATAAAAAGAAAGACAAACAAAATCAAAATCAGATGCTTTAATTTAACAATTGGAATTTTTGTATCATCAAGTAAGAGTATATTTTCCTTGGGGAAAAAAATCCCAAATTTATGACACGGAAAAACTCAATAAGACTCAATAATAAACTCCACCCAATTAGGAACTTGCAAATTTCTTGTGAGAAAAAAATGTGCCCCACCCTACCCCTGAGAATTTTAAAATGTAAGATACACCCTCAACCACCACCCCTGGAATTGCCGAAAATTTCTGCACCTTTACTATACTGTCATTCTACTTTATCTAAAATCTCTCTTTCTTTCGTTTTCATTTTCTGACCTTTATGAGCCAATTAAAAATACAGTCTTTATAAAATAATATTTCTTTACTTGTCAGAAAATGCACATTCAAATCAACTCATCATTACCTTGATTAACTCTGACGTTTTTACTCTATTCGATCATTTTTTTTTTTTGAAAATACTAAACCATGACACTAAAATGTACTATAATCTTACTTAAAAGCTTTCCGTCTCTTAGTACAAGTCAGTATGTCTGACTTGTCGAAGATAAGACACCTGCGCTCATCTCATTGAGTTCTTATGTCTGATTAAGAAAGAGACGTAGATCTTATTGAAATAGACCATTTTCGAGTTCAAAATCACCGCTGTGTTTCTTGATTACAGACTAATTTGCTCAGGCTTAGCCTCGATTTTGTGAAGAATATTCACCTTTTCCGGTCAAGGTCCGTCAAGTTTCGTATTGTTGAACTTGTGCATTCTTTACTTTACTGTTGGTATTTACGAGTAATTAGACACTGATTCGAGGCTTAGCCTGAGCAAATGAGTCTGTAATCAAGAAACACAGTGGTAATTTGGAACTGGAAAAGTGTCTATTATCCTATAGTAGAAATCAGCTCAGTAGAAGCCACAAACTTCCATGTTTAGTCTTTTCTAGAGAGCTATTATTTTTCACCCAATCTCATTCAATGAGATAAGCCTGTTAAGCTGGGAAAGAGTGGAGTGGTTATTACTGTAGTTATCTACAATAAGTTGATTAAAACACATGTTGGATACTGCTTATTATAGCTAGTACTTTATAGCTCTGTATTTACTTACGCTTGCAGTTATCTCAAACCCACTAGGCATTTTTGCGGTTAATATTGATACTATATCCCATGTATATATTACTAGCATTCTTTATGACCAAGATAATAGATGCAGTAAGGTGATCTGTGAAGTGATAGAGCAATTTCCTCTTACCTCTGAGGTCACAGGTTCGATTCCTAGACTCTGCATCACATGTAAGCAGAATTTGTTAAACCTCTCCCTTGATTCAAGAGTTTTTCTAGATATTCTCTAGCTTTCCTACCTCTATTATACCTAACACGATAAATTCTAAGTCAATCTGTGAGTAAGCCATGTCCCGACTTTGATCAGCCCAGAGGTTTTAGTAGTGTCAATAGAATTTGAAGGTTTTTGAAGTGTTTGCAAAGTATAAAATACAATAATTGCTCATGGAATTCAGTTAATTTAATATTTCTCTGGTATATTTTAATTTACATTAAAATATAACTAACAGACTCTTAATGTATTTTTAGATCAGTCTATGAGGCTAGAGCTGATTATATCAAAAGACATTATGGTAACATGTGGAGCACAGGGGCTATATACTTAGCATCATATCTCTTCAGAAAATCTACATTAAAAAAGCATTAAAAGTAGCAGAGTGAGATCAATGAAAGAGAAACAATAAACAATAGTAGAATAAATAGACTATAAAGCCTTTGATTATCCTTTTTAAAAAAACAAATAAATCCTTGGAAAGCAGTGAGAAATAAGTTAAGTTATAGCTGACCTATCTTGCACCAAAAAAAGAAAAGAAAAAAGCATCTCTAAGATTTATAAATATAATTATAATTCTGTCATCTACTACTCCAACTGCCCTGAGGGCAAAAAAGTCAAAATTGGGGGGAAATTTGCACAGGGTAAAAAGGACATTTAAATATATATACAACCTGCCTGTAAAAGAACAGAAGAGTTATGTTCTTGAGCATGCTATAAATAAGCAGTAAAGCTCATTTATGGTTCAAAATACAAAATAAAAATGATACAGACAGTTTTTTTTATAAATTTTGGCTGCTTAAATAATTTTGGTGAGCAAAATTTTCCCTGATATTTTATTTTCTATTTGGAAGTTCAAAATGGTTTTAGGCTGTCAGTAGTAAAATTTGACCTGTATTTTGGCCTTTTGAATGTCACTATTTTGAGCCCTGTATGTAATTCTAGATATGGATTTATTACTGTATTTATAGCTTTATATGGGAAAGACTTCCTGTCATACTGACCCTGTGCTATTAATATCTTGGTGTTCAGTTCAGTTGGAATTTGTTGACAAGCTTCGATTCTTTTTGTAATAATGTTAGAGCGTAAACACTATTTGTTTTTTAACAGCTTTATTGGCCTTCAAATTTCAGAATTAACAGAATAAATAACATTCCTTTATAAAGAAATAATAATTCTGACTAACTCACAGATTCAACCCTGAAGCAACCTCTGGTCTGATTAAAGTCAGGGCACGGCTAACTCACAGATTCAACCCTGAAGCAACCTCTGGGCTGATCTAAGTCAGGGCATGGCTAACTCACAGATTAAATTAGAATTTAGCAAGGCAGGTTTTGTGGAGGGAGGAAAATCAAGGAAGAGAGAAACTATATCCCTTATACATTTACATAATATAGGTATGCTATCAACACAGATAGAAGCTCAATTATAAGAATGTATTTATGACACAGTATGAACATTAATTGATACCACATGCTGGTGCTATAATCAGTTGAGACTTACTATTGACAGGCCGTATGTATGTATTCATTATGTCACACAAAATAAAGGAAAAAAAATTTTCGTGGGAGCTAGCAATGACAAAAAGAAACTGCAAAAAATTGTATTTTTAGGCATTTAGCTTGATTAACTCTGCTATTTCTAAGTGGCTTGTGCTCTTCTCCTGCTCTTATCTACTCGTAAATACATAGTTTCTAGCTATCAGAATGTTAATAAAGTTATTGTTGTCATTATTTCAAACTTAGGCTGCATTCATAATGTATGGCAGGGGGGAGAAGGGCAGGTGAAATTGAGAGGGATCGGGAAAATTTTGGTAGGAAAAAATGGGGGATCAGCAAATTTTTATCAGAAAAACGGGGGGGATGCATAATTTTTGGAAGAAGCTACAAGCCTTGCTTAGGGGGGATCATATTTTTTTGCATGACTTTAAGGGGGGGTGTTAAGAATTATTCTGGATATTTGAAATTTTCACCTGCCCCCCCCCCTCTTCCATACATTATGAACCCAGCCTTACGAAAACCAATACTAGCCAGTGAATACACATGGTATATATTATAGAATGAACACCTGTTTATGAAAAGTTTGAAAACCAGACATATATATTTATTCAAAAAAGGTCGTTGGTGCATGTTGCTTGTTTCTTACTAAGTTTGAAATATATTACATTTATATGTAAATAATATCAGCACAGACGAAAATATACCAGGAAGGTTTTGGTTGTATATACCACAGAATCTAATAATCACAACAGGACAAAACCAAGATTAATTAAATCTAGCAGAAAGATCAAAGATCTGATTGGAATTTAGAAGTAGATATTTGCAAACGGAAGAAAACTAGAAAACCTGACAAAAACCCTCAAAGCAAAGGAGACAAAGTATGAAAGACAATACTCATATTATGATGATAAGTCTGGGATCAAAGCCTTGACTGCTGTGATGAGAAGCAGTGCATTATGGAATCACAAGCCACAGGACTATGCCGAACACTGTGCGATATTCATACATATTTACATATTCTTTCCTAAATTTGTAAAAACATGATTGTTTGATAACATTGATAGGATAATGTATAAACATGAGAAAACTCTAATTCTAATTCTCAACATTTTTGAAGAAAAATAGAGATGAAGCATGGTCAAATCAAACAAACAAACATTTTTATATTTTCACGCCTTTGGATAGAAGAGCTCTATTTTTTCCCTACAAATTATATTTATTGTCTTATGAAAAATATCAGTCAAACTTGAAATATCTTTCCAACCTTGAATGTAATATATAATTCCCCTAGACATCTATTTCCTCTTCAATTCATTTTATCCTACAGTATATGTCTAATCTATCCTTATACCTAGAAAATGACAGTTATTTAGTCAAATAGCATAACGTTTCTCAAATCTTGTCAAAATGAAGATATCTTTAGCCATGTGAAGCTCATTAGGTCAATAGCTTTGACAACATGAATAATATAGAAGTACCATCAGCCAAAATGAAGAGGATCTTGATAAGCATTGTGAATACGTACTTTAAAGACACTCGTATGAAACAATCTAGTATGATTGGGTTTGGTAAATCTTGATTCACATAGAAAAGCTAATCAATAACATGTACAGGTGGCCACGATGATACTATGTGGTAAGGTGGAGAATAATGAGGATTAAGTAATTAGTTTGTGACAATAAGAAAAATAAATGGCTATCAAGTTGAAAAGACATGCAGAGTTGTGTAATGTTGTCAGCTGCATGCTATTAGGAAGAACTGGGAGGTATGTGGAAGAAGAAAGAACAAACGAAAGAAAGAACAAAAAAACAAAAGAGACAAAGAAAGAAATTGTGGTGGTCATGATAATACTATGTGGTAAGGTGGAGAATAATGAGGATTAAGTAATAATTAATTTGTGACAATAAGAAAAATAAATGGCTATCAAGTTGAAAAGACATGCAGAGTTRTGTAATGTTGTCAGCTGCATGCTATTAGGAAGAACTGGGAGGTATGTGGAAGAAGAAAAAATGAACGAAAGAAAGAACAAAAGAACAAAAAAAGACAAAGAAATTAAGAAGAGAAGGAAGAAAAAAGAATGGATGAAGAAAAGAGAGAAGTGGAGACAAGCCAGCCTTGAAAAATGAATAATATGCTAATGAGCAAGGAGGCAAAC